CCGTGGACGTGGTACATTCTCAGACGTTTCGCCGGCATCGTCAGTAAGTCTCGCCATTCGTAGCACCATAGTACAGCTCGTCAAAGAGACGCAGGTTTTCTTATTAATTTCTTCTCGAACCATACATTTAAAGGTATGAATACCAAGTTGGTGTGGCCTTTTGTGTGATCGCAGTCTCTTTTCATTGTATAGAAGTTGTTTGACCTTGTTTTCCAAACTTGTTCACATTGGTAGGAAGACTTAGAAGAACGAACGTTGTCCGGAGTCCATTGTATGCATCATCATTTCCAGAGTTGGACCGTGAACGTGGTACATTCCCAGACATTTCGCCGGGATCGAAGTCGGCATCGTCAGTGAGTCTGGCCATTCGTAGCACCATATTCCAACTCGTCAAAGAGACAAGCACACGTTTGGTCAAAGGATGGGCTTCACTTGTTGTTGTATGGTGCTAATAATGGCGATACTCTCTGAAGATGTCGACTACGATGCTGGCGAAGCGTCTGGGAATGTACCCCGTCCACGGTCCAACTCTGGAAATGATGATGATGATGCATACAATGGACTGAGGACGACGTGCGTTCCTCTAAGTCTTCCTACCAATATGACCAAGTTGCGAAAACAAGGTCAAACAATTTTCATACATATAAAGTTAAAATAGGAGTTATGAAGTCTATGATAATAAGGAGTCTGCGTCTAGCAGATGCAAACCATAGGCACCATGAGATAAGTAGATTAAGGGATATACTGTTTCAAAACAATTACCCGTTAGGATTAGTAGACAATTACATTTCAATTGCAGTTAACAAGAGTAAGGAAGTTTGCTATCACGCGGTGGATAGAGAAGTGGACAATTCTACTCGGTTCCTGATTTTGCCTTCCTGTCAGCTTGAGAAAAGGTTGGGTGAACTACTGAGGAAATGGAGCATAAACACATAGTATAAAGAGAAAGTAACACTTTCTTCAGTTTCTCCTTCGTTCAGAGAGTATTCAGACCCTCTTTCTGGATCAAGCTGTTACAAAGTTGTGTACTCATGTGGTAAGTTATATGTGGAGGAGACCTGCCGACCTATTCATAAGAGACTATGCGGACACAAACCGCTCGTAAAGGTCTGTGGGTCTAGAAATCTGAGCTCGCTGAACACATTTGGCAAAAATAAAACACTCAATAGACTCGTTTAAAACACAACGTTTTGTGGGTTACGGGGACTTCACATCAAAGCCTATAGGAATTAACAAATCCGCCAAAATCCTGAATGGAAGAAACGATTGTAGAAAACCGAAAATAAACTATTTGTGGCTGTTGGATAGACTTAAGGAAAGCGAGAGAGAGGGGGTGCATGAAGATCCACTGAGCAATAGAAATACGCTGGATTAGCCTCGAATCTAGCAGGAACTATCATACTTCCCACAACATGAGCATTTCATACACACAATAGACAATAACACAAGCCCAAACACGATTCAACATTTGAAAATCGTACATTAATTTTTTTTTTCTCAGCAACAGCTGGCACCGAACGCATTTCTGCTTCGGGAAGTTAATTTCACTCATTTTCAAGCATGTAGAGGAATGTTGAATTAGCCTACCAAATCAGGGAGGCCTCATTTAGATCGCGATGTTGGTTGCAGCCGGTCACCTTTTTTCCTTGGTTTAGTCTATTTTTGATGTATTTCGTAAAGCGTGGAATCTTGCTCTGGTAATCTCTGTCACGATGGTACAGACGAAAGCTCGGCACAGTTTCATCAGCGTCGCAGAACAGTGAGCCGAGCACTTCTTCGCACAATTCAACACTTCCTTACGCGACAATCCTGCTTCGGTTTCCGGTAAGACCATCTCACGAATTCTTTCCAACCAACTTTCCCTTCTAAATGGAGAGTCATAGCATTGTATGAAAAAAGCCAGACATTCCTTGAAATTCGCAT